AATTGGTCCAAAATCGGTAATACTCAAATCTTGGCCCCAAATCGAACTTTCCACAAACTAAATCTTTTTTCTTTTGTTTCTAGGGTCCATAAAATTGTAGAAAAAATGTAGAATTCAAATCAGTCGTTCGATTCTTGATATTTTCAACAACTTATTTGACAACAGCAGTGTTTTGTTTTTGTAGGGAGAAAAAATGCTCCAAAACTGGTCCAAACTGTTTTATTATTTGTAGTAACCCAGAATTAATTGTAGTGATCCAAAAATAATTATAGAAGCACCTATGGTTATTGTAGTGGTTCTACAATTATTTTTGGGTCACTACAATAACCGTAGGTGGTTCTACAATTATTTTTGAGTCACTACAATAACCATAGGTGCTTCTACAATTATTTTTGAGTCACTACAATTAAATTCCGACCACTACAATAACCGTAGGTGGTTCTACAATTAATTCTGGGTTACTTCAAATAATAAAACAGTTTAGACCAGTTTTGGAGCATTTTTTCTCCCTACAAAAACAAAACACTGCTGTTGTTTGACAGTATTTGTATTTGTGTTAAAATCAATCAAATAAGCATCACAAGTTGGAATTGTAGTAACATTGCATTCATTAGGTAGATTAGGCGGTTTGATAGGAACAAAATATTTATAAAATTCATTGTATGTCATCAGCATATAATTTATAGGCTCGAACTTTGAGTAATCACGATGACGCATTGGTAATGATAGGAAATTTGAGTTTCTTGTCCCATGTCGCGATGTTCTAATATTTATTTTGCTCAAAATGTGTTTCGATGATGTATGTCCACACATCACATTATGAACGAGTGATATTTGGGCTACTTTTCTCCGTTCTTCCAGCGTTATCATTTGTAATTCAAGCAGTCGGCATTCATATGGTGGTTTCCTAAATCTGTGTGGCCATTTCATTTTACGAAGTGCAAACAACAGAAATTGTTTCTGGATAGATTCAACTCGGGCAATCTTTTCAGCTGTGTATGGGTTCCATACTTGAGATGCATATTCGACAATCGGAAGGACAAATGTGTTAAATAGTCTCTTTATGGTCCATGGATCCTCAAACTCTCTACCAAATCGTTTAATCCAGGCCAAACGTGATTTTGCTTTGGCTGTAATGTATTCAATGTGTGCAGTAAAGTTCAATTTATGATCGAGTATAACTCCCAGATCTTTTATCACGTTGACTCGCTCAATTTGCTCGTTGCCAATTGAATACTTGAAGTTGAATTTCATGTCTCTACGATAAAATGACACAAATTTAGTCTTTGACACATTCAATTTTAGCTGATTCCGATTAAAGTATTCAACAAGCTCATTCAAATCCGCTTGCAATTGCAGACAATCATCATAGTGTCTAATATGCTTCCACAGGCGAGTGTCATCAGCGAACGACTGAAGAATTGAGTCCCTTATGTGTTTTGGCAAATCAATGATGAACAACAGGAACAATGTGGCACCAATCGGGTATCCTTGTCCAGTTCCCGATGTAACGTCAATTGGGCTCGACATATCATTATCAAATTTCACAATCTGCTGGCGACCATGCAAATATGACTTGATCCATTTGAGCAATTGTTCATTTAGTCCCATAATAGCCAATTTGCGGATAAGTAAATCGACGTTGACCGAGTCAAAGGCCTTTGCAATATCTAGGTATATTGCATCAGTTTGTATATGGTTTTCCATGCCCAATATTGCACATGATGTAAACTCAGCTAAATTTGTTATTGTTGATCTTCCTTTCATAAATCCGTGCTGACTGTCATCAATGATATTTTTCATGTAGTAATTAAGGTGTTTTGCAACAATGGAGTCAAGCAACTTTGGAATTATGCACTGTAGAGCCACACCACGATAATTCTCAACTTTGGCTCTGAGACCACTTTTGTGTACCGGCCTTACGAATGATTTTTTCCAAATCTCCGGCACAAATCCAATTTCAAGTGATTCTCTTAGCATGTATGTTATTGGCTTTAGCAGTGATGGAAGGCATTTTTTGATGAAAACATTTGGTATTTCGTCTGGTCCTGATACCATATTGTTCGGAAGATTATTTATAGCATCCAAAACTAACTCTTCGGTGATGTCAATCGTAGGAAAGTTAGCACATAGATCTTTCAGCAATGGTTCATCTCTGGAATTATCTTCAATTATGCTAGAATCTGGTTTGGTGTATGCTTTGGCAAAATGTGTTGCGAAAAATTGTGCTATTTCACGACGGTTCCCACTCTTTTTGTCTCCAAGTACCATTTCATTCGGAAGATCACCATTCCTTTTGTTGGAGACATTCACAAATTCAAAAAACTTCTGTGGGTCTTCGTTGATAAGTTGCTCCATTTCAAGTTTGTGTTGTCAAATAAGTTGTTGAAAATATCAAGAATCGGACGACTGATTTGAATTCTACATTTTTTCTACAATTTTATGGACCCTAGAAACAATAGAAAAAAGATTTAGTTTGTGGAATGTTCGATTTGGGGCCAAGATTTGAGTATTACCGATTTTGGACCAATTTTCATGACTCGTCCCGATATCGAACGAACGGGCAGACATATTTGAAAACAGACAATTGATTTGAATTCTACAATTTATCTACAATTTTTTGAAACCATTCTCCATTCGAAAAAACATTTGATTCATGGAAAATTCGTTTTTCGACCAATATTTGAGTATCCCCATTTTGGAGCGGTTTTTCGATAGCCGATTACTCAAAAAAAATTGTTCCTACATGAAAAAAGTAAATACACTACATTAAACTACATAAAATCTACAATTGAAATCGCTCTACCCGAAGACATTTCGGCAAATTTGCCAAGATCACGGAGGACGGTAGTCCGACAAGTGACGCACCATAGACTGTGCATTTCAAGCCAAATATCAAAAAATGCCAGTTTTTGCGTCACGAGTATATAACGGCTCAATTCAGCGTTTTATATGTAAAATCTCCATTTTGAGTGATTTTTTCGATGACAAAGTCGATTTAAGACCAAAATACAACAAAATGGGTGTTTTATTGTTCACAGGCCCCCATTATTTTCGAAAATAAATAGGAGTTTTCTAACGTAAAATCATCGAATTACGCAAATTTAAGATACCTCCCCTACAAAATGACCGTTTTTTAGAAAAAAATTTATATACAACGCTGAATTGAGACAAAAATGGTAAGCAAATTGGTACATTTTCATATGTTTCTCTGGAAAATAAAAGCCATTCGCGATTGAATGCAGAATAGGAAATTTTTGAAGCAAAAAAAGTGTTTTTATTCTGAGTTGAAAACATCCTCTGAAGCAGGGTCATTTTTCGACGTTTTAGACCCATCAGACAGGATTGAGATAAGTCTCAATCGATTTTCCGTCAAAAATTACGTGGAAATAGAATCATGACAGCCCATTATAGGTGGGTTTTCTATGCCACAAATGTGATTTTGTAAGCAGATTTCGACCATTCGTTTGTTCTATGAAGAAAAGTCAGGTCGTTTTTTCATGTATTTTGACGAAAAAATAGCAGTTTTTTCATATCAAAATGTCGTAAGAGGCCATTTTCGACCATTTTTCCCATAGAAACGCTGATAAATGACATATGATTCACCTGCCGAGGCCAGATGCACGAACTGAATGGTGGGTATACACGAAATTTTATTTTTCCATCTGAAGCGACGCGACATAAGCGCAAAAAAAACGCAGAAAAAACATGTCAAAAAACCCCACTATTTTGAGATATTCAACATTTTATACTTTGAACCGATTTTTGGAGGTTCCAATGGGGCCATAGAGGATAGGTTACTAGGCAGCTTTTGTAGCCCCATCAATTCCCTTTCCAACGGGAAAGGTTTGGTAATGTGTCAACTAATCCTTAGTTAGTTTTCAGTTGGCGCAAACCCTTTTTTTCGATTTTTTCAATTTTTTGCAAAATTTACACTGGGTGAACTCAGAAATGTGGGCCACTTACAGAGATTTTGGTTTTCTTTTTTTCTATCGAAAACAAGACTCCAAGCCAATTTTCAGCCAATTCGGCGACCTCACATTACAACTCTTCCCTGATTTCGTGTGGAATGGCCGATTTACTTCATTTTTTGGCATTTATCTAGGAAATTTGTAGGTAGGCCCACTCATGGATACAAAATTTTTTTTTCCAAAAAACGAGGTTTTTTGCCGACTGGCAAAAATTTTTTTGGTCAAATATATTAAAGATCTGATACAGTGCGCCCCCGGAAATCTTGAGTAGTCGACGCTATGCCTTCTTACGTCAACGCCAACTGGTGCAAGAACAAGTACTACAAGCACAACGTATGTCAAATTCAAAAGCTTGTATACAAATATATACATGTGTCGATTGCTTATTGAGCGATTTTCTGTTCTCAAGAAATATTTTGAGTTTATTTTTATTAAAAAGCGCAAAAAAAAATTTTCAATGCAAGAATTTAATCTTGTTATTTTAAAACGTATAATCAAACATTTTTCTCGTTTTTTTGCGTGTTTTTGCGTGTTTTTGTCAACACAGGAGTAACTTAAGAATTGCGAACAAATGTCAGTTCATTTGTTGACGTTCCACGTTCCGATTGTTTCAATGACAACATGAAGTGACATTTGTCGCAGTTATTCATGTTAATGAAAACACGTGAAAACACAAAAATTTCATTTAATTTTATATTTTCTAAAATAT